AGTATCTGTCATGTTAGTAACCCAGAGGCAGGACTGGAAAATAAGCAGCACTGGAAAGGGTGATGAATTTCTTTGTAGGTTGTAAAAGTTTTAAATCACTGTTCTCTTCTCTTGAAAGCTGTCCAAAAAATATGGTCCAGTCTTCAGTGTTCAGATGGGGCACAGGAAAGTTGTAGTGATTTCTGGCTATGAGACAGTGAAGGAAGCTCTCGTAAACCAGGCAGATGCATTTGCAGAGAGACCCAAAATCCCAGTCTTCGAAGATTTGACCAAGGGAAATGGTAAGTTGGTCTTATTCTTCTTTATCAGCTTGACCTACTCATTTTTTTATTTTTTTTTCTCTATAGACAAAGCAGGAGCTGGGACAACACTTTGGATTAGAGATCAAAAAAGGCATTGGAAGTAGGGAGAAATTTCATTGACTTCAACACACTTATTCAACTTTGAAACTCCTGACAGTGGCAACGGAACAACCACAACTCTAAAAATAGCCACAGCACCAGATAATAGATTGTGACACAATTTCAGGATTTAGAACAGGACATCCTTGCCAGAGAAGCATTTCTAGCTCTCATGATATGGCTCTGGACTTGTGGGTTTTTGGGCTTATAGAAACACCTTTTCTGAAATTAGTATTCTGCTGTTGTTCGTCATTTCAGTTGTAAATAATGTTTTTAAATTAGAATGTAATTTAAATTTAAATTAAATTTAAATTTAAATGTCAGAATATGACAATACATGGCATGTAGCATATAGAGAATAGTGAATTTATTTTAAAAGGGGAATACTGTCTACTGTGCTGGGTTTCAAAATAAGAATTTCACACCCAAACATCATTCTAATTTAGCATAAGAATTTCATATTTTTATCTCTAAAGATCCTTGGACAAATTCAGAAATAATTCTGTGAACATTTTAACAGCTGCATTTTTTGATGATATCATTGCATATAAGTTTACTTTTCACTTTATTTATTTGGATTTTAAAAAAATGTTGAGGTTATCAGTTAAAAGATGTAACAATTTCAGTGAAAAAAAAAAATCATGGTGGAGGTTTTAAGACATTTCTTAATTTTTTAAGACATTTTTCCCTGCTTATTTTTTCCTGCAGTCATCAGAGATCTCAGTTCAATTCCACTTCCAAACTATGATGACCAGCAGTTTGAATTTGAATTTCCAATGTCTACTTTCTTTCAGTGACAAGTGTCTTTGAGGATATATATATACTTCTTAAGATTTGATTAAATTAACCTTAAATATTTATCATTTGCTTTTGCAATCAACCTATTGCTGAGGATTGAAAATACGTAAGGCACAGTTGCATTTTTCCTCATCTGGATGCAATTTAACTTGTTTTAAAAGTGACTGCTACTAAACTGCTCCATTCTATGCCTACAAAATGATTTAAAACCTTCTGCCACCTTGAAATGTTCTCTTGGTCCCAGGGGTTGTTTTTGCTCATGGTGAAAACTGGAAGGTGATGAGAAGATTTACCCTCACAGCCTTACGAGACTTTGGGATGGGCAAAAAGGCCATCGAGGATCGAATTGTGGAGGAGTATGGGCACCTGGCAGACACCATTGCCTCACAGGAAGGTGGGTGGATGGTTCATTCTTTGAACCCATAGTATCACAGAATCACAGAAGGGTTTGGGTTCAAAGGGATCTTAAAGCTCATCCAGTTCCACCTCCTGCCATGGGACATCTTCCACTATCCCAGGTTGCTCCAAGCCCTGTCCAGCCTGTCCTGGAACACTTCCAGGGATGGGGCAGCCACAGCTTCTCTGGGCACCCTGTGTCAGGGCCTCACCACCTCTAAGGTTTTTTCCAAGCGTGCAAAAGCTTTTTGAGCTTTCTCAAGTTCAGACTTTTTTATGAAATGTATGTCAGTTTTATGAATTTGGCTCCTCTGGCATTTTTGTGTCTTAGTATGGAATTCTGATAATAATCAATGGGTACTGGATAATAATCAATGGATTATTGGATAATAAACAATGATTGCAATCAATCATAATAAATAAATAGCAATATTTAATAATATATATATTACAAATTACATCTCTTTATTACAGTGTAATCAATTCTCTTGTTCTTTGTCTAGGAAATCCCATCGATGCCAGCAAAATAATTAA